AGGGAGCTTCTAGTTGGCTAACAGTCATTCCACTGAAGGAACTAGGATACTATAGGGAGAGTTTAGAGATGCTCTGAAGCTGCTTTACATGCAATTGGGAGTTTTCAGACATTCCACATCGATGCGTCTGTGGAAACAGGTTTGACGCAAACCACGCCATGATATGTAGAAACGGAGGCCTGGTAATCCAACGGCACAATGAAATTCGAGATTTAGAAGCAGCGTTACTTGGAACCGTCTGTAACGATGTGCTAATAGAACCTCCCCTGCAAGACATAACTGGAGAAATATTAAATGATGGAGCAAACAAATCAAAAGACGCTCGTCTAGATATCATGGCAAGAGGGTTTTAGGAGCGGCAGCGCTCGGCATTCTTTGACGTCAGGGTTTTTCACCCAAATGCTGAGTGCTGCCTCGACAAAACAATACAGCAAGTATATAGACAGCATGAAGCAGAAAAGAAACGAAAGTATGCCACCAGAATTTTAGAAGTTGAGCAAGGGACATTTACGCCCCTGATTTTTAGCAGCACAGTCCAGAATGTCAGATGTACCACAAACGCTTAGCCGAACTTGTATCGGTGAAGAAAGAAGAGACCTATTCCAACACGATGTCCTGGGTAAGAGTGAGAGTGTCGTTCGCCTTGTTACGATCTGCCCTTCTTTACCTGAGAGGAACGAGAGCAAAACGAAGGAACTTTGACACTAATAATTCTGATTTTAGCATGGACAATTTTACATCAAATTTAACTTAATTCTTAGAAATTTTAAAATTTGTAATTTTCTTATTTTATTTCATGTTTCGTTCTTTTGGAATTTTGTAATATTTTTAGATAGTTTTGATTTTACATATCTTATTACCATCAGCCACTTCTTCATAGTATCTTATTACTATTCATGTTTTTATTACCAATATTTGTAAATATGAGATTCTTTTTGAAATAAAATTTATTATTATTAATTATTATTATTATTATTATTATTATTATTATTATTATTATTATTATTATTATTATTATTATTATTATTATTATTATTATTATTATCATTATTATTATTACTTACAGTCAATGACAGAAAACAACACAGCATTTCCAGCTTTTTGAGACCGGCATTCCTTTCTCACGAGAAGGAACAGATCCAACCAAATTAACAGACAGCATATTGCAATGCATCGATTCATGGAAATTACAAAAGACAAGTATGTTAACAAGCGAAATACGAAGAAGGCTTATGAAAATCCGATCAATAATCCAATCAAATTTCGAAGTTTTAAATCAAATTTGATTTCAATAATGTAATGTTGAATCGACCAAGAATCGAATAATGAAATGAATAATTGTGTTTTGAGGGGGCGCGCTTCATGTCTTTTGACTGTAATATACACATTAGAATATTGAAGTAATGATAACACATGTTGTCAAATATTAAAAGTACTTTTATCGATAATAATGTTAGAATTTTAGTAATGGTAAGTTATAATCATAATTTAAACTAATATCAGTCAGGAAAATTTAAAAATCATACTAGCCATAATGATATCTATTATGATATGAGACCACTGCGATAGATAGAGGATATTACATGTGGGCGCGCGGAGATATGCATTTTATCTTCGAGTGATGAAAAGATCGATACGCTCACTCGTGAGAGATTTTCAACACGAGAAGATAAAATTCGTATCTCCAAACCACCATGTACATATTCAGTTAATCATATAATTACATATGAGAGCAAATTACGTTTTTTTCTTACTTCTGCTATATAGAGAAACCTCGAATGTTGTGTTATTTTTACTAGTGAAAATATCAATTTTACGAAATGGAGAAATATAGGTATTTCATAGACAATTATATGATAGAGATTTATAAGATCGATACGGAAGTTGGATAAGTTCATCAATATTGCATAATATTTCAACAAGTTTTATGTCACTCACTGTAAGGCCATCCAAGGATTTCATTGAAGGACAGAGGCAATCTGCGCATGCTTACTGGCAAAGACATGATCTTGGATTGTGCCTTGGCCATTGGACTTTCAACAAACAATCTTGAAGCCAGAGGTGAAAGGAGATGTAGAACAATTTGGATGCTTTTGGTTGGTCTGTCCTGGCTGGAGAGTAAAGCAAAGCTTTGGAGCCAATACAGGATTTGTGGCTCGTACTTTCTAAGAGTGTTTTTTAAGCTCTGCGGTAGCTAGAAACAAGCAATTGCACAGTGAGTATTAGATATTTAGATAAAGGGATTTTTGATGAAATGACCCACTGCTTGTAGAACTACCTATGTCGTTCAAGTCGCAAGCAAGTTGTGCTGGTCTTGACGACACGACAAATTACATCATGCAAAAGTCTCAAAAAATTACAACTATCTTACCAAATGGCTCAAAGATGCTCAATACCTTATTCCATTCGAATTTCAAATTCAGAAGTCGGCCTGTGTCATCGATATCGCTATGCACAGTCCATTTATATTTGTTCTGTTTTCTGAGCACTGCTGTGATCTTTCTCAAACTTGGGCACGTTATTTCTAGACTTAACTTCTTGGCTTTGAAGAAGAGGCGATTTTCCTGCGAGTTATATTCGTAATGTACCGTCATTTCACGCTTTGCTCTGCCATTTGCACGGAATATCAACACACCTTGAGTTTCTGTCGGAAAATGCATATACATCAGGCAGTCAATGCAAAATAGGTAGCTACGCTAATGTTCATGTGGTTTTGAACCTTTACGTCAAGAAAATCAAAACAAGACGACAGAGCTTTTGTTAAGTTTCATTATTAGAAGTAGCTTCAAGTATAGAAGATAGTAGTTCTAAAAATTACTAAAGAAATTCGAATTATTCATGGTTATATTGCATGGTTGATTTACTTGATGTGAATAATAATGGTGGTCAACGATCTGATTATTTTACTCTGAAACTGCATAGTTTCTTATGGCATTTACATTATCAGTATCTTTTCAATATTCAATATGGCTATGAGAATTGCAGTATCACTCCTCCCTGAAATCCACAGCACTTCCATACAATGCGCTTGCCCAAAGTTTTATGGCGCTGTACAATAAAACAAATCAGTCTACTCACTTTTTTGTTTGTTAATATTGACTTGGATTTCAATGTTTTTTATGTTGTCTTTTGGTACAATTCTCATTCGAAGGTTAGTTTGTGCAAAGAATGGAAATACAGGGACGTCACTAAAGCGTAGAGTCGAAGGACTTGGAACTTTTGCTTTGATGCAGGTTGCAATTCCAAGCGTTTCTTCACCATAGCACTGTTCTTGGAACTGTGTAAAAAATTTGCAATAAAGTCAGATGAATTATTTTCACATCTAATAAAATCAAAAAGAAATACCAAATAAACAAGCCGTYAGAAATTTTCTCTGCGGGCATCAATAAAAATTCATTTTCCACGGAGTTAGAGTAAGATCATCTCGCAATCTTTCACGTATATATCAAACCACGTTGGAAATATCATGTGGAGATTAGTATCGTTTATAGTCGATTTTAGGAACAATCGTCATTTTAAAAGATCGAATAAGCGAAAAAATGAAACTAATAACAAAGCCACTCTTAAGGCGTAACTATACTGGAAACGTCTCGTGATAACCCAACGCCATCCAAAAAAGTTAAATAATGCAAATTATTGGATCTAATGAAATAATGCTTATGGTGGCCAATTAACTGAATGGTTTTGGACATTTCCAAATACTGCAGCCGGGATATTGGATACGGTGCTTCGGTAATGTACTATTGATTTCAAACTGCCCCCTATATCCAACATCATCCTAAAACACTCAAACCAGATAAGTTGGATTGTTATTCTCACTTTTGGCTGGGAGTAAGTGACCGCAGTGAAATGTCTTCATAACCATCAGCTATTGCATCTTTTAGCTACAGCTTTTGACAAAAATCGTAGAAGAGCTGTAGGTCAGCAATGACTTAAAATATGATAAAACCATGGTATATTTCATCTTTATATCTTATGAATTATTCTTACTTCAGTCATGTATTGTTTAGAAAGTTGAAGTTGGACCTCATGTTGATTGACTTTGAATTCCTTAACATTCAGTGTCTCTACATTACCACATACACCAACTGCATCTTCTTTGGCTGGATCAGGACTGCATATAAGAATGGAAACTGCATTCAGGATTCATATCCAAATCAAATAATTCGTCTTAAACGTTGAAATTAATTTCAATACATAAATCAATTTATTAATCAATACACAGGATTAACGAGGGCCTACTGTAGTCAGTACAGATTGATTTCAAATTTTATGTTTAAATATATAATCTATAAAAAGGATTGTTTAATAACAGACCGTGTATATTGGAGCCTGGACGCGAGTAAATGGAGTGATTTGATTGGTTGAACTAAATGTTTTCTCCGGTATAGATTCTATTCGTTAAAGCTTACCAAGTAAAACCATACCAAAAAGACAAACAACAACGCCCAAATTCAACTTAGTGGCAAAAATCACGGAAAATAGAGACGAATATTCGTATTCAGACGTAATTTTATATTCAGTGCTATCTTTGGATACACTTGCGAAAACGTTGTCATGGAAAATAGGACATTTGTATTTAGTAAAAAGAATTAAATGAAAAAGACAAAAGAAGATCACTGAGGCTGAACGCTCTCTTTTGTCTTATTTTAATTCATTTCTTTTTACTAAATTCAAATGTTCTATTTTCTATGACAACGTTTCTGCAAGTAGGTGTAACTATTTGTCCAACTAAACAATAAAAAACGGTCATATAATTAAACTCTGATTATCAGGACTTGCTTGATCTAGTTAAAAAAATCTCGACCTTGTCCACTCATACAGACCTCCCTGGGCTCGGTCTTTACTTCCCGACTCCGGTGTAGATATTTCTATCTAGACCGCGTTCTTGGTTAATAAGACCTAATTTTCAATTTAATACGCTCAATTGAAGACTTTTTCAAATGCAATCATTGCTTTATTTTCAAAATAACCAGTTATATTTGGATGCAACCATAGTAATGCTATAAGTATTTCATGCAAATCAAACTGATCACATTACCTGACGACGAAGACATCGGTCTGTCGTTTTGGTACTTGAATCTTGAAATTGTACGAGCTTCCCAGTTTTGAGTCTATTAAGAAACCCATGCTAGGTCTCATCTGGATGACGTTCTGCGATTTAAGTCCAACGCGGACGAATGGAGAGTGGATTTGAATCATGCTGTTAGTGAGCACTGAAACCCTGTAGTTCAAAGAAAACGTTAGGCGTAGTTGATTTTACCTTCGAAAATGATCACGACAACTATTTCAGTTATGAAAATGTAAAAACTTGTCAGGCACTGCATGGCAATTAATGCACAATAGAATGTTTAAAGAGAATCCAAACTGCGTTACGCATTTTTTGGTTTTCCACCTGAATAACTCCATTATCATTCAAGCTGCCTACCACTAGAGGTTATCACACCACGACAATAAAGAGACGATATTCTTAAATATATAATAATAATGATGCTAAGGGATAATGGCAAACTTGTTTAGGAAATATGTAAATTAAGATCGAGTCATACTACCTATACGTGACGTAACACTTACTTCGGTCTGACATCCACTGATAGCTTAAAGTCTTTGGCGGAAAGAAGCTTCCACAAAGATGGCTCTACCTCAGCGCTGATCCTAGCTTCAATTTGTGCTAAAACAGTTGACATAACGTGGTGATGCAGAGGCAAACCGCAAATGGTTGGCTCCAGTTGTCGAGCATGTGCAGCGAGAAAAGCTTTAGTAACACTTTGAGAGACTGTGACGCTGTTCTTTGTAATCTTGATGGCTACGAGGAAATTCAAGATCTTAGTTCATGTACTGTTCCTATCGTTCAATTTCTTCGTTAAGTATATTCATTTTGAAATCACAAGCGAATCCTGCAATCTGATTGGTTCTTGGCAGGTCGATTTCAGCCTAAATCGCACCATTAATCACACTCCTTTGAGAAGCAAATATTGTATTTGTACGAATTAATAAAATTTCATGCTTTACAATGTGTTAGATTTCTAATAATATACATGAAAAAATTACTCAATTCTGATTGGCTGATAACATCTCAATTAATAGTCTTAATTCAGTGCAATTACATTTCTGCGGTGCAATTTACAACATACTGAGCAGTGCAAAAAGCTGTAATATCAGTGCAATTACAAACAAATTTGCGCTTTTGATTGGCTAAGAAACAAAAGAAATGATTTCAGCCAATAAGAATCAAGCTTTCTTTGTAACTGAAAACTTTTCTCAAGAATCCAAGATGGCGGATACTTCGCCGATAACAGAGAAAAAAGTACTCAAAAACTATCAACAACTGCCAGGTCGATGGAATTCAGTACAGTTTCAACGGGAAACCAGCTCAAATACTGGCTTTTTTCCACATTAGTCAGCAAAAGGTATTTTTCTGTTTAATTGACAATGTCTTTACTGTTCAAATTCAAATAAATTGCTTTAAAATGGAGTAAATCATGTTTTTTATCAGTAAAAATGACAAAGTACAAGTTTTGAAATTGAACTTTGTTTTGCTTCAATTTTTTTGAATTCTTTTGTACAAAATAAAGCCGTCATATGTTATAAACTGGTGTTTTTTTGCTAGCTTTGATAGTAAGACAAGTGTAATTGTTTGTCAAGAAGAAAATAAAAAGACTTAGTATGCATTGATGATATTTTGCTTACATGTTGTTTTTATCGTTGGCTCCTTGTCTAGCCTTGTCAGTTTTGGCTTCAATTTTTTCATGTATATTATTAATAGGTAATAAGATGGTTTCTCGTTCAATTTGGATTAATTTGCACTCGTTTGTTTTTCAAAGAGCATTTTTTATCCTTTTGACTTATTAGTTTACTAGATATAAAATATTGACACCCTGTATAAAACATGGAAAACATAAAAAGTACAGCAGCTTTGGATGCATTCATATTTTTTCTATCATTTTACTATGCTGCTCAAGGATAACTTCCAAAAAAATACAACTTAAGACAAGACAACTTAATTGTATACCCTATTTTAACAAACGAAAACCACAGCCCGCGCAATACCCTTTCGTTTGGTTATTTACTGTTTGAGTTAGATATTTTATATTTTAGATGATTTTATTTTAATTTTCGCATAGACCTAGAAGCAATTGTATACATTTTTGATTTGCATCAAATATTTCTCATTACCTCCAAGAGCAGTCTGAATTTCAGTTATCTTTCCCAGTAAGAGGTCATTAATCTGGCCGGCGAGTTGATTAATGATTTCAGGGGTTATTCTGAGAAACTTAATTTCCTGGCCAAATACTTTCATGAACAATGATAACTCGGGCTTCTTGGGATTTTCCTATAACGAACAAAGAAACACTATTAAGTACGCACGCCTACTTTATTCTATTCTTATATTTTCTAGCAATAATTAAAAGAAAAAACATCAAAAGGAAAACGTCTAATGTGAGACATATTAGACATATGATAGAATAAAGCAACTATGATTGGACAAAATAAGCAGATCTGGTTATAAAGCCTTTTTTGTGTTATATTTTAAAGTAAAGCTTTATTACAAGAAAACATCGATTCATAAGAGTAGTCCCCAGTGTTAACAAGATATCAATCATGCACAATCAGAAGACTACCTCTAAATCTAGCTATCATTTGCAGGTTTTACACTTGCTTACACAAGCGGCGCCATATCATCTGGTAGCAGACAGATAAAAAAGCAACTCACCTTGTCTTCGAAGCTGTTGGTTGGTCTTTGGGATCTTGATTGGGTGCTTTGTTGTGTACTTTGTTCTGTGGATCTGGCTTCAGCTCTTGAGGTGGTTCGACTGGTGGTTGGGCGTTGGGTCGACGATTTACTTTGTGCCGTTTCTTGGAATTCATCTGTAGATCAAATTGAAAGTGATTATGCCAATAAAAAGAGACAACTAGCATTAAACTATTGTGAGTTGGGTCGTTTTTTTTAGTTTTTTATTGCTGTTGTGATAAGGAATAAATTGTAAATCACAAAAGGTTGAAAACTCTAACGTTGGTTCCGATTCTCTTGCAATAAAGGTCCAAGCATGATAACTAGCTTATGCAATATGCATGCTTTTTCTCCCGAGTAGCTATGAGTCCTACGTAGCTCGTATAAGTCGCCGGCCGGGGATGTTCTTTCTTTAAGGACTAGTTACCTTGTTCATCGCCACTTGATGGCTGACTTGCAGCCTGAGTCGAGGGATTTGTGGCCTCAGTTGACGATTTTTTCTCTTGATTCGAGAAAAATTCCCACACGCTCGACCAGATGGATCGTCTTTGTCGCGAACGAATCTCGGAGACTAAGTCCTGGACAATGTCTTGCAGACCTTCCATTCGAGCTCCACCCTGAAAGATTAAGATTTTGTAATCCATTCTGAAATCGCTATGATTACTCTTGTTTATTGACCTTTTCAATCATTGAATCTATTGACCTTTTCAATCAATGAATCTTTGAATGATTGAAAAGGTCAATAGACGAATCATGTTTGAAAGTCTTGGACTTTTAGTGTGTGAAATTGTTTAGAAAACAAAAAGTTTAGAACTCTTTGATGATCAAATTTAAGAAAAATTTCTAGGCCAAAACAAGTTGATCAGGGAATCTGTGTTTTTTTTACCAGAGCGAGACAATTGTTACGAAAATAATATTTTCCTTAAAAAGTCATGAATTTGACATGACGTGACATCATTGTTTATTTTAGGGCTACATTAAAAATGTTTGACTCTCAATGTAGTGCAATACGAAACTGCTTTAGTATTACGGACTGTGCAATAATAACGGGATGGCGTGAGAAAAAAAATCAGATTGAATTTGGTAGTGTAACAAAAAATCAGTAGAGCTTGCATGACAGTTAAATCCATGGGAATAGCTCCTAACTATGTTCTTTGTTATGAGCCAGATGTATCTTGGAATACCACAAATAATGCACTCGGTTGATGAGGAAACATTACTTTTACTAAAAAGCAGACACAGTTTGTTTACGTGATCTCTTTGATTTCCATGAAAGCTGAAAAGCAAGTCTGAGATCAGTTTTACTTATAATATGAGTATTTTAGCTAGAAACAGATTAACATTGCTCAGTCGTAAGTCCATGAATCATTTCTTTAACCTACTGAATTAAACAAAACAATGTTTAATCCAACAACGATTAGTCCTACCTGGATTACTTCAAAGTGGTTGCCCATAACGTGCATAAGAAGACGTGCGTTCATGTTGCGTGGAATGTAGCTCTGTGGTACGTTCATCTTGTTTGTTTCCAATTCCAATCCACCGAGGAGTTTGTTTGAGTACGTAGCAAAACGCATGGCCTTTGAGAATTGGATACCAAAGTCCATCTTGCTAACAGATCGGCGAGCAGAGCTAAGGCAACGACGGGCACGGGAAGCTCTGTAGACGATAGATATTAAAGAAAATGTGAATTGGTTATATTTTTGATAAACTTTCCCAACCAGAAAACTTGCAAATATTAAAACTTCATTCTTTTCAATTCTTTTCATATTTGTAGTTCGTTACCAATCACTATCAACAGTATCGCCAATATTATACTTGATATCGTTATCATCAATCGACCCTAATTTCAGTAATTACCATCAGTATTATCCCCATCATCACACTTATTTTTTAACGATGACTTTTGAGTTTATATTCACTTATACCATATCATTTTGTCCTAAAGCTATATGTGTACACATCTTACCTTTCTTTAAGCATAAAATTATTGTAATACGCCATGGAGGATAACTTAGAAATTACAAATGACGCAACCTGGTTCGATCTTGGTCCTTGGCTGTTTTTCTCTCGGATTACGGCGTTTAAAAACGTTTGCATGTTAATAAACGAGGGCTGCCTGTCTAGCATCAACTCTACGATTGCCATTCGCAGTTCGGGGTCTTGTTTCCGATCATGGAAAATTTCGATGAGTTTGCTAGTAAGCTGAAAATACAAAAGTGGCATCTGTATTGGCATTTAATATTAAGGTGATTAATTGAGGCACGCTCTTTCCGCAACATTTTGATATCGTGCTGCAATGGCGTATTTAGTGCCCGCGTAACTTTAAGCCAGGTGTGAATAATAAGGGTTTTCAGATATTTATTTGTTGACATTTTATTCTCCTGATATGTGTCATTAGACTTTGTTTATGCTTTGCTTTTTTAAAATTGGGCAGCAGTCCTTTGGAGCCCGAATGTTTATGCCAATTTTTCGTGCAAGGCTCACTCACTTACTTTTAAACTTGAGCCTAGGATACTTTTGATAGTTTCGTAACCTTCATATATTCACTAAATTCATTCAAGTTAATTTCAAGTGTTGCAAGAAAAACAATGAAAATGCATCCTATCCTAAGTACTAAATTACTGAAATTTCTCAGTATTAGATATAAGTCCTAGATGTACTTCATCTTCAACAGAAGTATAGAAAACAGAACACTATTATATGAATAAGACGCGTATAAAAGTTGATTCGCGACGACAGCGATAGAAAGTAAACAGTTTTATTGATTAAGGTTTGTAGGCTTGTTGCACTTCCCTCTAACTAATGTAGCTTTTCGTTATTTTTATCATATTCAGTGAATGACAATTGACTATAAACTAAGTTATTGTTGTTGGAATTTGCATAACAATAGATATCTCATCATGCACCATTATGCATATATAAGCTCCCACTAGGGTATTGTGTCAGTCTCATCTACGGCGCTGGCGACACATCTAGCCAAAGGCGTGTTGCGAGGTATACACGCGGATATTCCGCTGTCCATAACCGTGGACAGCTTCCCATTTTCAAGACTTCCATATCTTAATGTAATACTCGCGTGTATTATTAGTACGTGAATATACTACCATTAATTTCAAAACTGTAGTAACAATATGAGCATATGGATCTTTTAATATCCTTACATATTTTGTTTTGTTTTGTAGGAACAGCATACAATATGCAAGCCATCTATAAACCATCATGGCTATCGCGAATAAGGCCTTCTGAAGACACTTTTCTGAAAGATTTCAGCTATTATTACCTATACATATATTTTAGTTTTAATATGAGAAATACATACGGGCTATTATAATTTCTATAGACGTTTTGTTCGTTAATTATTGAATAGGCATTTATTTTAACAAGATTGAATACAAATTGTATAATGCAACTCATGAAAAAGGTTTTAGTTTTTCATCTTAATTCTAATTCTATTGTCTTGTATAATGCCAACATTTTCGACACCTCGCAAGTTTAGACAATATTTCCTATAAACCTTCAGTGTAATTCAGTAATGGAATTACACGAGTACTTTCATGCTCCTAAGGCTGGGAGAAAACGTTTGAATACTATACAAAGGACAGAAAGCTAATTTCAATTTTCGTTCGGCTCCAGTGAAGTGCGTGTAGACGTTTTATGAAAGAGGACAAGACAAGAGTAAAAGTTACCTTATCTCTCTGTTCAGAGTGTACCATTCTCCTCAAGGCCCACACACTCTCGACACGTACAGCCATTGTTTCATGAGCACCTTGCAGGTGTTTAAGTATGGATGCCTGGTGCTCTGCTTGCCCAGCATTTCCAATGGCCTTAATGAAGCAAAGTTTTTCATCGTCATCATTCCCTGCTTGATCCAATTTGTTTTGAAGATGCTAAAAATGAAAGGTAAAATTAATGACATGAAGACATGTCGGGGAAACGATTTTAAACCTACTTCTACACATGTCTTGATAGATGTCTGAATATCAGTTCTCTGCTGTGCATCTGGACGTTGATTCAGTCGATTGACGAGCGCACCATATGATATATAGCACTGACGACGTAGTGATAGTCGTTCTTTGGGCTGAAAATCTGGAGCTCTTTCGCAAAGATTCTGATAGCAAAAAAGCATCAATTTAAAGAGTTTGGCTTTGACACCATCTAGAAGTGAACTGTGATAGTGTTAAAAGTGAAATAAATTGATCTGTCAGATGGAAGATCAGATGTTTGTCCAATAAAACTGATTTAATTTTATTTTTTTATCTTGCTTTAAGTAAAAACGTTCCGACTAAAGCTATAATCCGGCGAAACATATGGAAAAAATACGCAGTCAAGGATTGCATGTGACTCAGGCCAAAAATATAGGCCAATGAAATGTATTTAAAATGTAGATAAACATTGTACTGATAGAGTTGAAACAAAGTTTATTGTTAGTAGTAGCTTAGTAGCTGTAAACTATGAAAAGTTAGGTGGACCATGACTCTCCATGTCAGTAATTTTTTCGTTATTTCATTGGTTAATCATTTGACAAGTGTTGACAAGGCGGCAAAAGTCTCTACTGAAGTAAAATCTACAAATGTATTGCTGCGTTAGCGTACATTACAAGTCTTTTTAGACAGAAGACCTCGAAAATGAGTGTCTTCAGTTCTTTTGCTTTGAGCTGAAGTAAAAATGATAGCCATTAGACATAGAATTTGCGAAATTAAGAGACACAGAACGACTAGCGAGTGAGAATGTTTGTAAACAAACCGTCATTTTAGTGGCTAGTAATTTTCTCAACGTAAAATGCGTTCAAAGCGTACTTAGTCGACTTATTCGTATTTCCAGATGTCGTTTTGTCAACTAGTTTTTTATTCTCATCATCAGAGCTCTTTTAAAAGAAAGCGGTTTTGACCACTTTTCATAGCTTTTTTGTGTCAAAAACAAATCTGAAAACTTTAATTACGTGGACAAATATCACCTTCGGACTAATCCAACTTTTATCATCCCACTTTGAATAAATGTTCAAAGTTACTTACAAGAACAGCATCAACGTGGTCAGCTGTCACTTCAGTAGTAAACACGATATTAGTTAGGATTCGGTCGAACAGCGGCAAAAGTACAGTAGACATTTTCTTGTCCTTTATCATGACATCGTTCATCAATTGAACAGATTCTTTTGTAGCAGCCAGACCCATTGCATCAGCACATAGGTTCCTAGAATTATAATAAAAGTGTCATCCATGAATTATAACAGTTTTTTAAACCTGTTAAAAAGACAATTCTTTGTTCTTCATGTCTCTATTAGGCTATTTTGTTTTGAAAAATGATTTTCTTCTCTAAATGTCTACTGTCCAGCTCCATTTCTGAGGTAGGAAATCATTGCACCATTGACACAGTTAATATAGATACATCCAATTCTTTGTCGAACTTGAAAACGGCATCATATTGCATTACCAATAATATGTCGGTTCTGGGCATGCTTAACTTATTGTCATGTCAAGGTGACGGTATATCACAAACACCACTTTTAATATTGGAATACAACATTTTAACATATTGTTTATTACGGTTTTGTCACACGCTCGAACTGTACCCCAAGTCCCTCTTCGGGACAGCGCAAGTATTATTAGTAGAGGGAGGGTGCTTAGCCTAAACTTATGACTAGGAAGAGCAAGACAAAGTTCAAGTTAATCAACGAGGGAGAGTTGGTTAAGTATCTACACTGTAGGTTTAATTCGAAACTGATCGAAACAACTCATAACCAGTAACACGTAAGATCATTTCAAAAGTTGGTCATTTAATTGGCACTAAGGCCTATTCTTGGATGCAATAAATCGCCCAAAATTGTTCAAAATCTCCCAAAGGCACCCAAAATTCACTTTTATATTTTGGATGGTATAGTGTACATTTTCTAAAATAGTATAAAAACGTCTCTCAAAGTTACGTTTGAGTGGTTTTGTGCAATCTTTGCTAAAATCGCACAAATATGTACGGCGACTTTGAATCCCGGAGAAGCTCTGCATGTATAATATATAACTCTAGTACCAGTCAATACGTTTCCAGAATACAAGTGTACATTTAGGGCGTTTTTTTAAGAGCGTGAAAACACTCATTATTGTACACAGCACTCTAAATGTACACTTAAGGCTGGGCACAGTCCACCCTGTAACATTGCTGAAAACAATATAACCATACCCGCATATGTAAAAGCAAGTAGAGCAACAAGTGGGAGTCGTATCCATTCAGTATGTCGGTCTATGGTCCCCAGACAAGACGATCACGTTGTGCTCTTAGGCAAGGACGGGAAAACGGAGAGAACGGACGTGATGCCATCTCTCTCTCCACATTAGACTAGCAATGGAGTAATGTAAAAGAACCACAGCATGCAAATATTCGACTAACAATATGACATGGAGTTTCCAATGGTGTGCACAATTTAGTAATGCATTGTACTGAAAGCACTCTAGCACTATCGATACCGAATGAAGAGCTTATAAAAGAATAATTACTGACGACTGCATTATGTATGTTTTTATACTGTTTTGCCACAAACCTGACTTGCTGGTTTTGGTGTTGTAGTGTAGCTGTCAAGAAATGCTTCCATGAATCATAATCGCACATTCGTAAGTGAACGGTGAGCTCCGACACAATTCGTGGTATTGCTTGACTTGAGAGATCCTTATTTACTTCGCTGGCTAACTGCTGCTGAAGCTGCATAACCTGCCGTCAAATGAAAAGAAAAAATATATCAATCAACTTAGAAACGGACGGGTTTTTAGGACCTCATTACAAATGAATAACTTGATTGTCAATGCTTAGATAAGCATTGGAATACCATACATTTGGATATTTTGATGCAATATAAAATATAAAATATGAGAGGGAGATCTTCATGGACATTTAAAACTGCGAGCTGCCTAAACCTTTCGAGAAAGCAATTCACTAATTACCGATGCTAATACATGTACCTTATTAAGTATCCCTTTCTTGAATTGTTGTCTCATTTCTTGTTCAGGGTGAACTATCTTCATCTTCAATGTTGTTTGTATTGCGTTCTTCAGAACGTCTGTAGAAAAGAAGCAAATCTGACAATTCAAACCACCTTGCATGCTGTAGTGGATTTAAGAGCATTACAACTTTACAATTTAGCGTAAGAAGTATGTTGCCATTTTTTTGCTGAGTTAACTTACCGATAGAAGGTTTCTCCTGCTCAGATTGGAACACTAGGTTTTGTCTGTAGATAAATGGTTCACATCCATGGTTATATGTTTATAAATGATACACATGTCCAAGGCTCCCATATCCCTTCCTAGATCAACCCTTGTTTCATTACTTATTAAAGTATAAAAAAATTTCGAAATCACAATTATGTATACGAATTACCAACCAGCTTATTGCCTGTTTTTATCCATTGTCAGAGAGATTTGATGATTTTCAGTTACCTCACACAAGCCTCAACCTTGCCGCCAAGTTCAGAGTAGGGTGTAAATGTGTGATACTCCTCTGCTTTGGCTTGTTTAAGGAATCTGTTGTCAAGAATATGTTCAATTTGACCAGCATGGCGAAGATAAGGGACATAGCCAAGGCTCTGGAAGTAACAATTATACAATAAACTATCATACGTTAAACCAACTCAACATGCTCAAGTGACTAGAAATATGATAGAGCGGACGGACTCTTGCTAGTGCTTAGTTAAAGTACTTAAGTATTGAAATTAAACATAATGAAGTATTAATATGCAGCAGTAGTATAGTCATTTTCATCCGCCTGTGAAACAATTACTACAGTGTTTAATAGTAACTATTAGGGTGTAGTAGGCTACCAAAAGGCAAAATCAAAACTGTGTTTGCCTAATTAGTTTGTCGCATGTTATAAGTTAAACTATTGGACGCTAATAGGGGGTAATAATATTTCATTGTACAATTCCTATTTCACAGACGGATGAAAATGACTCAATTGGAGTATTTTTAAACTCGTTACCAAACCCCTTCTGATTTCGGAAACTCCATTTGCTAATATTAACCAGTTGGACATCCTTGGCATTTTCCCGGGCAAAAGCTTATTCTCTTACCTGTTGGCAAGATGGGCAAAGCTGTCCCAGCACAATACTCTCCCTCAGATGTGGTCTGTCTACACATTTTTTGTACTCGACTGTCTTGGTAACCTTGGTGACTTGAACCAGCTTCTGGGTTTTGACGTCTTGTTGGACCCAGGGTTCAACGGTGTATGTGACGGGGCAGTTTCCAACAAGTGTTTGCTATAAGAGAGAGTATGTTGATTAACACGAGTGGCAAATCTCATCCCTCACTGGATTATTATCAATGTTCATAAAAAACGGTTTTCTTATGGTTGTTTTAATATTGAAACTGCTTTGATGTTTGCGTTAGAGAGGTCATTTGGGAATGAATACCTCTTTCTGTTGAACAACCACCGGTGTTTTGCTTGTAAGTATCTGCTTGGGATCCAAGTTCTCAGCCTTTGGAGCAATCTGAAGCATATTTGCAATTCCTCTCTTGATGTTCAAACACCATTCGGGTTCTTGCTTGTCAACACGCAGAGTCTTGACTCGTCCTGATCGGGAGAAAATCAGTTCGACTGGGTTCTTTTCCAGCATTTTGATGGCTTCAGGGTCTGCTTGAAGTGGAGATGAGTTCTCCTGATTTGGATGGTCGATTCGAAGCTGATGAAGTTGGACATTTTCCAGCTAGAATCAAATATGTATAAACTCAGTTTGAGACGTCATTTATGCACGTGAAATCAATCAATCAGTCAGGCAATCGCAACCAACCAACCAATCAACCAATCAATCAGAGTAATCAATTAATCAACCAATGAAGTCAATCATTTAATTAGAATATCAGTATTATAACCAAACCATCTCTACAGTATCAATTCCAACCATTCATCTTTCTATTCTTCCTTTCCCTTTATCTAATTCTCCCAGACATCCGATCACTTTTTTATTAATAAAAATAGGCGTCAACATGCTTGAGTTCTATTCTCAGATATGTTGATTTCGTTGTGTTATTAGGTAATAACCAACTTTTACTCAACAAACTATTCAGTCATCCAATCATTTAACGACTCGAATTATGTATTTCTGAAAACCCGTTACCTTAATCTGAGCCTCTGCAGGTTCGATGCGCTTCACAATTGTCACATGACATGTACACTGCAACCTCAGGCCTATCTGCTGGTTCGCTCCTCCAGGAATAGAGTGAATTATCTCGGCATTGTATTTAAAGGTGTAGCGCTGCTTCTCCTTGAAGGCTAATAACAAAATGATAGTATTAAGGGAAAATATTGTTGACAGATATTTTAAGCACTGACCACATGTGGATTCATAAAGATCTCAAAATACTGCACATAGTCTGAACTGTTTGCTACTATACTTTTCAAATCAAATAGCTCTGTTTTCATGAATTTTCAAATATACGTCAATAAATAAATGTTTAAACTTACCGAGCGGAAATGCACCTGTAACAAAAAGGATAACTTGTTATTGATGATATTGCTCATATTCATATATCATAATTTATACACTATTTGAGCACTAGGAGATTACCCAAAAAAGATCAAACTCCATTTTGATCTCTAAATAGAATTCCAATCCTATAATTAACTGGCGAATTGAACAACTTGCAATTATTTTCTGAAATATTACGTGAGAATTAAGAATCCAGTTTAACTTGTGATATCCGCACGATGAAATCCAGTGAGAGAAGATAATAACACTCAGAGATATTGTCTCACAAAACATCCCCGGCATTGTAGATTAGATTGTACTTACTGGTGAAGGTTGCGAGAAGCAAGATACCGAGAGCTGCATTCATCTTAACTTGATGACACGGCTTCCAAGCATCGGTATAGTAACTTAGGTGCGTCAGCTTTTATATCTAACAAACCCCAGGAGTCTTAAGGATCTGACTGAGGTGCTCCCTTGAGACATCACGTTCAGGAAAAATACTGAGCGCCCTTTTCTAGGGTTTTTCGSCATGTGGCATTGAAATATTGACAACTTCTGGGAGGTTTTATGGCATATTATGTGAATGTTATGGCGAAAAATGAATGGATATTAGACAGTATAGTCTCCAAATACGAATTTGATGAACTTTGACATCTTCATACCACCAAAAAGTTCGTTTCATACCACCAAAAAGTTGGTTGTAACATAGAATCCCATTAGAATAGAAAATGGAGTGTCATCACAATAGTCCCATGAAAACTCAGTATTCTTTCAAATTAGCAAAGATGGTAAATATTCTGATAACGATCAGGTTTTTTATTCTAAGATATTTTGCAAGAAATTGGTGATTTTATTAAATATCGAAGAAAAATGAATACGAATTAATGCTTAAATGTATAAAATAGATTAATCTAATACTTTTGGGTTGCATCCACATTTTTAAAATATACTGATTCCCGCATACAATATACAAATATATGCATAATATACTAAGACAAGTGATCAAAACTCCAAGCAAGTCAAAACCAAAGCATAAAGCCCACACCTACGTCAAGTATAGCCAAGGAGTCAGCGGTGTTGTTTTGGTTAATGTGTCGATTAATTATACTGCATTAGTGTATGCATGAGAATCAGGTCCCTAAAACATTACAAAAACGCATCAATGTGATGCTTCTTTATCAGTTGTCTTGTATGAATAACCTCAATAGTCCAAGTGAAATTTCTACAAAAAATATTTTGGGTTAAAGAACAAAATTATCTTATTTTGATCTCATTAAATCAGTGGCGCTGTGTATCTCATATTTTCCTGACATTATTAATCAATGGTTAATATCTAGATATTGGTCCCGTCACACCTGTTATATAGCCATTTAACTAAACGTTTTTGTTGATTGGGTTCTTACTACGCGCCTAGATCGAAAAGGATTACGGGTAAAGTAACATGAATAATCAGTTTTCGCAATGGAGAGCAAAAAATGGCTCAGGATATGTTGGAACAATTAGCTTTGAGAGACAAAACACTCAAATTGATCAGGAAACCAGAAAGGGAACTGAAATCCATTGTGAGCAAAAGGTCAGACATAATACGACAAAACACTTATATATCTAAATTTTGCATAATTAGACAGGATGTTTGATAGAGTCGTCTCATTGATTAAAAGAGATAAAAAACGAATGCAATATTTTCCAGACAATACACACAAAGAGATAGTTTACTGCAGTAATGATAACGAATTCTAGCAAGAGAAACCAACGAGCAAGTAAAACAGCTGAAACGGGATAAAACCGAAATCGATCGATAGCATTTCACATAGAATCTCATACCTCAATTTTAAAGTCGTGCGTTGATTGGTCAACACGTCAACCGGATGAGAGGGTAYTTCAAGTGGAATTCAACGGTGAGAAACCTGAATTCAACGCTGAGAAACCTGAATTCAACGCCCCGATAAGCTACCTTAAAAACACTTGCGTTATTTCAACAATTTACTCACAAAATCCGTGTAAAAMCCTGGCAAAAGTTATTATCTAATTGTTTTAGTTCCCAACAACTTGTCTATTCACTTTATCTAGATTTCAAGAAGCAAAATATTTTTATTTTTTGCAAATTAAGTAGCAAAAGCAAAAACACATTTAAACTTAAGCTTAAGTTAGTTAAGTTTAACTCGATAAAAGCAACGTTTTCAAACGAAAAAATACCCCAAAACTCATAAATATAACGTCACAATTAATTATTAAAATACTATTTATTAAATACCTGCATGGTAGTGTAATACATTTTAAAGTTTGTCAAGATCAGTTCATCTACGYAAACAAAAATTGAGCGGCCTTCGCCGTTTCTTGCACGCCGTTTCTTGCAGAAAACTAAAGCTGTTTCGCTTGTCATTTTTTCTTGAATATTCCATGCCAGAACAAGTTATGGGATGAATTTATGAAATGTTTCTGTGTTTGAGTTTTTCAGCTACTTTTTGATTGAGAATGTCTACTACTAGTACGCTTTCTTTCACAAGTAAACATGAAGTAGGTTTTGAAGTCTGCTTGGCAAGTCAGGGCTACTACTGACTTCGACGAGTTTCGTTCGTCCAAATAAGACTCAAAATATGACTTTAAACTTGTTTTCAATTTTTCAGTAACAACCTTTCGAAGTCTTTTCTTCATAGATGATATTTCTAATCGAGATAAGAATGGAAAACTGTAGAAATCTTAGGATTTGTGGCCCTGGTCTGTCTGCAAGTTTGCCGTCCGCCGATGATCGTTGCAAACTCGCTCTGAAAAACCGGTTTGAGCTTGTCAGTAAAAATACTGAAAAGCCATTCGAGTGCTAAAAATTTGTTTGTTTTAGTTATTAAAAAGTAATATTTCTTTAGCTAAAATGAAAAAAACAAACAAAAAAACTGAAAATGAAATTCTCGCACTGAACTCACGAGCGATCGCTTCAATTTTGCAAACGCACGCTCATTTCTAACCTTTTTTTGTTATTGTTTTTATAATTTTTTTCTCCTTTAAAATTGAGGCATGAGATTCAAGGTAAATTCATTGGATGACTCGTGAATTCCGCGTTGAATTCACTCGTAAAGCCGATATCGCACTCATCGCTTCGCGCTTTACTCGTGAATTCAACGCGGAATTCACTCGTCACCCAATGAATTTACCTATAGTATTTCTGCGTCCATATGGGGCATGTGAGCGATCGAGCCTATGCATAAGACGTCCGAAATAGGAGCGGTCTTTCCGCTTTTTTCTCCTAGTACATGATGGTATGAGCTTGCTGTAAATAAATGTGTAAGGAATAATGCTCGTCGCAGTGAACTTATCAAATCTAAGAGATAATTAATAAATGGATCACCCGCATAATTTCAGACTTCAACGGGAATCGAACCAATGAGCTATGAAACCAACTATGCGTTATTTCATTGGGTGAATCCATCCAACTTATACTTTCACTGCGACGATCATTATTACTTACACATATAACACTGTCTTTACGGTCCAAAGTAATTAATTTGGTTTAATGTGTTTATTGATCAGTCTCCTACGATCCTACTACACGGACAGACCTACAGCTCTCGACAAAATGTTTGTGAACACCCCCACTCCCCTGTTAACATTCGTTAACCGCTATTAAATCCTATAAAAACGGTTACAACGATTAATTCAAAATGTCTTCAATATCTAATGAATGTGCACAAAGTAATACAAAGAATAACAGTAGCGTTGATGGCAATGAAGTCACGGCCGATATTTCAGCAACTGTTGCAGAATTTCAACATTGACTTTGAGGGGGAAAGGAGGATATTTTTTCAGAAATACGCCGATAGATCATCGAAATTAAATCTATTTCAAGAAACGTCACAAATGTTTTGTACGGGATTGTAGCTAACCAGCAGAAAAAGGCGGGAAAAGACGACCTTGCCCAGTTCATTGCAAACAGAGGTGCTAAAGTAGTTGCAGAAGCTATAAGTGTAGGGTGGGATATKRAGGAGGCAGAAGCAAAACTGCAACGACAAAAGCTCACGCGTCTTCAAATGCTCGAGCAGTCACTGGAGGCGGAATGTGCAAGTGGTTGTGGTGGCGAGTGGCTGAGGCCGTTCTAACAAACAACGGCATTACATGTACCAGCTTTGCTACTGCTGTTAAAGAGCTTCTAGTAAAAGGACGGGGGAAGTACAGAAATTTGATGATAACAGGTCCAGCGAACTGTGGGAAAACCTTTTTATTGAACCCACTGAATATTATCTACAACACCTTCATAAACCCGGCCACAAGTACGTTTGCGTATGTAGGAGCCGAATTCATATTTCTTAACGACTTCAGATGATCTCTTATGTATTACCTTTTGTTTTCATGAATTGTTCTGGTTCAGTGACATCTACTATTAAATACAAATAGTCAGTAAATAAAAACTAATAATGCGATGACTCTAGGCGGCTCGACTTTAGTCTTACCTTTTTGMCTATCTATTCTGTGTATTATGTTGCGTCACCGGAAGTTCAAATAATTACTATCTATCAATCCGGAAGCTATGAAAGATCTTCGCAACGGAGTTCYTATGTCACATTACGTCATTATATTGTCATTAATTCACTACGTCATGTTCTTTGGGCCAACAGTACATCATCATATGTTACTTCATTTTGCTTTATATATACCATTATTTTTGCTTACTGAGAACCATTTGGGAAGAACAGCTCTTGATGAGAATGATTGAAAGTTATGAGCATGCTCAGAGTACAATGTAGTAAACTCCCATCCAATCACACATTAGAGTTACCAGGGCACAGGTAGCCCGGAGTTAGATAAACCATAATAATCATCCAATATGCACACCGGTCCTTACGTAACATGTCAACCAGAATTACCCATAACTCCCTGGTTTGATAGCACAGGAATACCAAAGCCACATGGTCATCAGCATGTAGGCATTCTGTCTGCGCATGCGTGTGTCACGAAAGCATCTTCGAGGAATGGGCGCTTTCTTTAGGACATCTTTTTCGGGTTTTTGCTAGAATAGATCGAAAGGTTAAACACTTTGAATTGTAATAATTTCAATTAGAACCGAGAGTAAACACGGGTGACTACCCAGGCTATTTTGGATGTATTCCTAGGCTTTATATTTCGGTAAATATATTCCTTGAAATGATCTGAAAATAACGAAATTCATTGAGCATATGGTTGTCTTCGTTTTGATTTTGCCCGCTGTTCAATTCAGATTTTCTACCTTACAAGACTTATTGAGGCGAGTATTTATGTAATGAAGTTTCAATATTGACAATATCAATCTTTACTTCAATGCCGATCACCCTTTGCTAATGCTTGCTTTTCTATGTGAAAATTAAAACAGTGCTGCTATTTACCCAACTTCAGCGTGTT